TCGATAACCAGAGAAGGAAGAGGAGTCCCATCTCCCCAGCCTGTCCTCTGCTGCCTGACAGACACAGCCACGACCTCCCACCACTGACAGGCCATTCCCAGGCTCCAGCAAAGGGGGGGAAGAAAATTTCTGACACCAGCCAGGTGAGCCGGATGAGCAAGAAGCCCCAAATAAAGACAGTTTGTGATAATAAAAGGACCCTGTGAAGCTTCATGAGCAATCCTTGGCTCGTCCCAAACCCCCAATGCCAGCAAAGTTGAGGTGGGGAGAAGTAGGGCAGTGCCAAAGGGTCCCAACCTGAGAGCTCAACACTTCTTTGAAAGTGATGGGGACCCCCAAGCCCCTTCTGCTCTGAATTCCCTCCAAGGAAGCCAATGCTGTGGTTAAACATGAAGTTTTACAGCACACCAGTGGAACAGGCAGGAGGAGGGATACACGTGCAGGTGGGATGTGTTTGTGCAGCAGCCTGGAGAAAGACTCATTTCATTCCCTTTGAGAAGAGACATGAATAGGAGACAAATGAAAAGCACAGCTTTCCACAGCCTCCCCAAATCAGCTTCTGATCCCCAGAGAGTCTATTCAGGACAGGACAAGTATTGCCTTTTATTCATATTGCAGGTTGGTAAAGGACTACTGGCACCAAAAGCAAAATGTATTCAAGACTGAAACCTCATAGTGAGCTGGAACACTTCATCCTTTCTTCTCTTAACTCAAATTCAACCCCCAGTAATTGGGGTTAAACACTGGGAACACAGACACTGTGAACAGCACACACAGCCTGGTTAATGCACAGACCTGTCCCTGGACACACCTCCCTGGAGAGCAACAGGCTGGGCCAGAAACAGCCCCAGGGAGTGTTGTCCTACTGCAGGGACAGGAGTAACAGTCCTGAGCCAACACACCCAGGCAGCCCTTGGAGCACAGAACGTGCCTGTCACAAACCTATGAGTGGGTGAAGCCTTTCTGCTGCCCCAGAGCCCAGCACAGCATCCGTGTCCCCTCCTTCTCCCAGCTCACTTCACAAATCAGGGTTGTGTGCCTAGAAATCAGTTGAAGTGTAAAGGAGGGACCAAAGACACCCGTTCTCTACAATTACACCTGTTTCTTTTACCTCCCAAACGCCCTCCTGCCCATGTTCTCCACGTGTGGCTGTGCTGGAGCTGCCTCCCCTGGAGCATCGCTGGGTGCCCACCCACACTCTCCTGGCTGTGTGGAACTATCAGGTTGTGCTTTGCCTTCTGTGCACACCAAAAGAGCTGCTGCACAGAGAAAATGAGAGTTTTTGTCAGGACACAGGGATTCCACACACCTGCACACGAGGACTCTCTCCCTGTGGGCGAAGCTCCTCTCCCTGCCAAAGCCCTTGGAAGCCGCGTGGAGCTGCCCGGTGTGCTGGAGCACTGATGGCAGGGCAGGGGGCCTGGAATGCTCCCACAAACTGCCAGATTCATTTCCCTGCATCCACCTGAGCAGTGGCAAAGCTCAGTGGGATGGCAGGGGGTGTGGGATGCTTGTTCCCCATCCTGCAGTGGAACGTTCCCTGATGAATCACGGCGCTCCTCGGCACCTAGAGAAGAACAACAGATTTGGACACAGCACTGATCAAACACACACAATTATAGAATTAGAGGATGTTTTGGGTTGGAAGGGACCTAAAGACCATCTAGTTCCAACCCCACTGCCTCAGACTTCTCTGGAAACCTCCTCAGTGCTCCTGCTTCAGCTGGTGCAAACATGTCCTGAGAAACCTAATGGTAGGAGTTAGTTTTAAATAGCACACTCAAGCTCTTCTGAAACAAAACGTTCCCAAGACTTCTCTGCACTTGAGTCGATTTCTTCAGGCATCCTGCCCCATATTTAAGCACCAAAGGCAAGATCCCCACATTAAGTGTCTGGTGTGAAATTTTATGGCCCTGCACTTCAAAATGCAGCCCTTAATAACCGAATCTCAGGCACCTGGAAATCCCTATTTTCCTTTGGAGTGATTAAAAAAAAAAAAGGAGAAAACAATCCCTGTATGTTATTTTTATTTTCTTGCCTTTCTAAGGTTTTAAGCTGCTTTTATGCGGCACTGGAAAGTTCCAGCCCGTGATTTGTTGCGTTCTGGTGTGCTAATAGAAACATCCCCCTGACTGCTGCTCACTCTGCAGAGCAGGAGGATCGTAACACAGATTGTAAATGGTTGCATTACTGAGAAAGATAATGTTTCTTCGCACTTTCATTTCCCTGGGTTGATATTTATCGTGGTGGGGGTTGCGTAAGCGTAGGAGAGAGAGAGGGATCATGCATTATTTACCAGTCTGGAATGGGGGAAGGCTCCAGCCTTCCACAGAGTGCATGAACACACAGCAGTTCCCACTTTGTGTCGGCTTGGGTGGTGGCTGAAGGATTTTGAGCAAATGTGATCGTCCTGCCAGGCCAGAGAGTGACAGCAGATGGGGCTGAGGGTCACAGCTCTGCTCTGCCTCCTTTCAGCTCTGGACAGTTTATGGCATTATTTATTTCACACCATGACGAGAGCAGAACTGCCACTGAATCACCACCACCATCAACAAACTCCTTAAGGTCCAACAGAGCTGAGACAAAACTTCTTAGCCTCAAATGCAGCTGAGAGAAGAAAAACCCAGGAACAGGCAGAAGACAAACCCAGAGAGGCAGGAGACAAACCCAGGAGCAGGCAGAAGAACAAACCCAGGAGCAGGCAGAAGCCTTTCCAGCCCCAGGATTGTCCCTGTGATGCCACCCCACTGATCCAGTTTCCCAGCACTCCAGGAAGTTGCAACACTCCAAGGTTTGTTGTCCTTAAACTCCAGCCAGTGTCAGAGTTTGTCCCCACAGCGCTGCTGCCAGTGCACATAAAATCTGACAAAACAAGCCCATTAAGTGCTGGAAGCCTTGGGAAAGAATTTTTTTTAAAAAAGAAACAACAACAACAACAACAAAACTACTAAATAAGAAATAAGTTAATGAGGAAAAATTACAAGGAACTAAAGACTTTAAATGTTCTTCCAAATTAAGGAGAACAAAGGGAAAGGATCAGCTCTTATTTTTGCAATTAAGGTGTTATTTATGGCAATTTAGCTGTTTTGAGATTAAGCCTGGGTACAGTGCTGCAGAAAACACATCTGATTTACTCCCAAGGCTTCTCATCAGTTCCTATACGAGTTCCAGCCAGGCAGCCAAAAAAACAGGAGGAGTTCTGTGCTCTCAGAGCTCCCTGGCTGCTCCTGGCGCCTGGAAAACACCCAGAGGATTTATCCCCACATCGGGTGTCTGGACCAGGACCATCAGCAACAATCCTCAATTTCCAGCTCTGGCACTGGAGCTGAACTGCTGTATCTTTGGGCCAGAAAGCTTCCAAGAATGAGGGATAACACTTGGGAGGAGCAAAAGGGAAACCTAAAGGTTCTGGTTCTATGTGCAACCTGCACGTGAAGAGGAGGAGGCTCAGAGGGGCACCCCGTGTTTGCAGGCACTGCCCTGGCAGAGCAAACAGCCCCTCTGCCCTCCCCCAGCAGCCAGGAAACCATCCCATACTCGTGATTGTGCCATCCACCTCCAGGGACACCTCCAGCAGCTCAGGAGAACACTCCCCACAGGCTTGGGAGGGAGGTGAATGGTACCAAGGGGCCCCTGGCAGAGCCCTTCCTTCTCCACCTCTGCCCAGTTTGACTCAGATCATCCAGTGGAGCATCTTGGGACTGCCCCAAAATCCACATTTCTGTGCATTCAGGTGCATCTTCTGTAGTATTTCCCCCCCTGTTACAGAGTTGGTAACATTTGCAGAGAACCTGCACCTGAATTAAGACCACCCACACTATTTGTAGGATTCAGTCCCAGATACCTTCTGGTTGTTTTTTGTTTTTTTGGTTTTTTTTTTCCCACAGGCTATAAAAACAATAAAGGAAATAAATAAAAAAGGATGCAAAGTTTGGTTATGCTCAAAAGCAGCTCAGGGAGGAGGGAGCTGAAGGTGGGATGGTGCTGGGAAGACACCCAGCCTCGTGGTGCTGCTGCTCACAGGCTCTCCTATTCCAGAGACATGAAAGCAGGCATTGCAACACGACAGTTGCAAACTCTAGGAGCTTTTTTATGGCTCTGTTGATTTTTCCAGCCCCCATGGCTGCCTGCCTGGGTATCCTGTTCTTTGAACCCCCACAGAGTAAATAAGAGCAAACCACTGTGGCTCTGCAGGCAGGAGATGTGTCCCCAGGAGGGGCACTGGGTACAGGCAGGGAAAGCTCCCCCTTCCATCCAGCAAGAATTAGAGCTCTTAGGCTGAAAAAGGGGGGAAAGAGAAACAAAAATCAGGAAAACCTTCCTTAGAGGAAGATCCTGAGAATTGAAAGGCCTGCAGGACTTGGAGGTAAAGAGGCAGGTGATGGTTTTCCTGAGGGTGGATGCAGGAGGACGTGAACAGGGATGTGACAGAGATGTGACAGCTTCCAACCGCCCCAGCAGAGCTGCTGGAGGCACAAGGGGTTTAACTGGAGCACCTGGAGCTTGACAGGACATGGGGAACACGCTGGTCAGGGCCTCAGAGGGTGTGGCAGGGATTTGATTTGATTTTATTCAGATCTAACTGGCCAGAAGATTTCTCTTCTCTTCACTCCCCCCTCTCTCCCAGCAGAAACTTTTATTGTGTTAAGTGAAATGTTCATCCTCTGTTGGCTGCAATAGCTCACCCTGAGCAGCTTTAGTGTTTGCTGGGATCAGCCCCCCACTCCATGGGGCTGGAGATGGTGTTTCACCCTTCCCTCTGCCCAGTTATTCCTCCTTCCCTCCAGCTCTGTCCCCTGCCCCTTCTTCAAGTTGCAATGCGGTTAAAACAAGAGTATTAGCGGAGCTTATCTGATGCACGGGAGATGTGCGAGGAGCTGGCACGCAGCCAGCAGCTAATAGCAGCATAAAGCAATTTGCTGGGGAAAAAAAAAGAATTAACATGCTAATTGTCAGGCTGGAGAGGGTGCTGGGGATCGTTGAGAAGGGGGGAAAAAAAAAAAAGACATTGATTACTCTGGATTTTAACAATAAAGGTCTGGGGAAGAAAGGGAGGTTTTGAGGCAATCTTCTTCTTTTTGTCCCGTTCTCTGGTACCCTCCCCCAGCTCAAAACCTCCAGCCAGAGCCTCAGGCACTCACGGGAATTTATCCGAAGATCTCTTCCTTTTTAGCATCGTGTCACTGCCAGATGCACCACGGGCTGCGGAGCTGGTCGGCACCAGCACGCACTTCTCCCCTTCCCCCGCGGAGGGAAGTGACACTGCGTGGAGCTTCTGCAGGGGGGAAAGTCGTGTTGGACGGAGCCCTGCGCGGTCCCACCTCGGAGCTGGGCTGAGCCGAGGGCAGAGAGGAGCTTTCCAAAGAACTGACCCTCTCCCGTTCCCAGGGAACCTTTTTTTTTTTTTTTTTTTTTTTGGGTGTTTCTTTCTCTGAACAAAGGGACATTGCTCAATTATTATTATTATCATTATTTTTAAAATTATTTTTCTAAGGCAATTGAAAGGAGTGCCTGGAAAGCCGAAGCGGAAAGCTCAGCCTCTTCCCACCGGCTCCACAGCGCGCCGTTCACTGGGATTAGGAAAGTCAACTAATGCTTCCCAGCGCCAGGATTTCAGCAGCACGGAGCCTCCCGGGGCAGGGAACCGCGACGGCAAATCCGGCCGGAGCTCAAGGCAGCAGCTGCCATTTAACCCCGGATTTCTGTGCGTCCCGCTCCTGAAATTCGGCTGGAAGCCCATCGTGCCTGCCCTGCACGGGCAGTGAGCGCTGCCAGCCCGAGCCGGGGCTCCTCTGCTGGAAGAGGCTCTCCCCAACCCCATGCGGGTGGAGCGGTGCCACGGGGCTCCCAGCACATTCCAGGGGCTCCCGGCAGATTCCTGGAGCTCCCAGCACGTCCCGGCTGACCGGCAGATGAGCCAGAGCATCTCCCCAAAGGAGGCGTGCTGGGGGAACCAGGGCCAGGACACGAGGTACCTGTGTGATTTCTGATTAATATTTGTGGATGAATGCCGTAAATATGAGCCGAGAAGATTTAAAAGAAAGCCACCGAGGCGTGCCAGTGAATTAATTTGCTTTCAGACAACATGTGGCTGGTTTGCAGCCCTTTGCCAGCAGGACCGCTATTCCTTTCCTATGCCAAAGACTGACCGCGTTTGCCTGACCCCTCCTGCCTGACTTCTGCCGTGGAGGAAATCTGAGCAAGAACATGTATAGTGAATTTCTAAATTCAACCAGCGCCACTGAAGCTCACCTGATCATCCAGACCAACACTCCCTACCTGGCCAGCACCCCCAGACCCGTGAGCTCCTCCGCCCTTTACATGTCGACAGCCAGGGTGCTAAAGGAAGGGGAAATAAATAAGCCAGACCTGGTGACTTACATCATTCTCTTTTTCTTTCTGCTCTTGACCGTGACATTCATCGTGCTCTTCATAAACTGCCAGCTGAAGAACTCTTTCTTTGCCACCCTTCCTTACGACAGATCGCTCCGGGAGGCGAGGAGCCCGTGGAGGACACAGGCTGTGTGACACCCCCCGCTCCCACCGGGATCCCGGTGCCACCAGGAGTCAGTGCCATGTGCCAGTGAACGGATGTGACCCCCGTTAGAGTAATGGGGGGGAGAAGGGAGGGTGTGGAGGGAGGAGATGGCTGAAAAAGAAGCTGTCTGCAAACCCAAGCAGCTGTAAATAAAAAAGCTCTGTTGTGCAGAGAAGGCTTTAGCAAATTTATACGGTTTTGTGCAAAGAAAAAAAAGTGAATAATCGCCCCGTGATTCCAGATTAAGCTCTGTATGTATGCAAATGTCATCATCCACCCATTCACTGGCCATACGAGGACAATTGCATTAACAACGATCTCTGATTTGGGCATCTGGTGGAGCTTGTTGCCCGTGTTTATGAAACTAGAGCATCAAATGGAACAAACACAGCGTATTTACCTCCCAGCTCCATGCTGAGAGATGAGTTTACTTTCCAGACTCATTTCTCCCAACTGGCTGCTGGAGCTGCATGGTGATGCCGTGGGAGGCCTGCCAGGCAGGGGGAAAAAATGAAAAACGTTTATTTAGACTCCTGATTGTCATTCTGTTAAGGGTGTTTTTGATGTTTGAATGCGTCATCCACCGAGTTTTAAGTTACCAGTCGTGTGAAACACTTAATACCTAAGGAATTTTCAACTCTCACAAGCTACAAAGGAAATTCTTTTGCCACGGCACGAAACCAAAATAATCAGGATGGGGTGGGGAGGTGGGGAGGGAAAATGAATATCATTAATATCATGTGAAGTAATGGAAGGGGAGAGCAGAGTGCTCTGAGTTCAGCACACAAAGTGGGTAACTTCAAAAGCCATAAAACACAGCTTTGCAGGGATATTTGCTTTGCATCCCCACTCCTCGCTCTTCATACAAATTAGAAGCAGGATTTATCAGTGTGGCAACAGCTTGACTCAACACCTCCATTTTAAATTATTAAAAATCTGAGTTTGTTCTAAAAGCTTCTGCTTAACCCTGGCAGCTGACATGCTGGTTTATAGGGGCTGATTCCTTGTAAACCTGCAGTTACAGCACAATTCCAGGTCAAGCTGCATGAACCCCAGAACAGCATCTGTAATTCCCACAGACAGTGGGCAAAGGGCTTTTTTTCTTTTTTTTTTAACTTTTTTTTTTTATTCCAGTGGCTCAAAATACTTCAGAATTGCAGCTATTCAGAAACAACGAGCCCTAAACCCTATTTTACCTCCAGTTTGGGGTATTGGATCATCTGTCAGTGGAATGGGGTTCAAATGGTGTGAGATGCTGTGTCCCTAAATACATTCTTAACCTGCAGAGTGCACCAGAGGAGCTGTGTGTATATATATTTATATGTACATAACTTATTTCATGCAGAAGAGGAGATTTTACAATGCAATTCCACACCCATGAGACTTGCACTCAAGCACAGAGACAAAATGTGTATATACAGGAGTCTGTCTGCAAGCTTTATTTTTTTTTTTTTACACAGAAATTGCACAGTTAACAACAGTTCCATGTCATTGTCTTGGTTACCATGGTTTATTTTGCTCAAGTTAAACTCCTAAACAACAGGTTTTAATATTTTACTCCTTTACAGGTGGCCAATATTCCCTCTGAACCAAATTTAACTGATGTAATTCCAGGTAGTTACTCTAATGTAGAAAGCAAGAATAAATTCAAGTGTGTTTCTCTCAGCCCTTTTTGAATAAATCAAGTTTTATCAAATCAGGCATTTCTTACTCATTTGTAAGTAACAGCAGCTTGTTTTCAGTTCTCAGCCATAATGAGTTATGGGGCTAAGAATTTCTGCTGGCAAAAGGCTCAGAGCCTGACAGAGCACATGTTGTGTTGCACTCTTTATTTAACTGTTCAAGAATAACTCTGGGATAATCCTATTTTTCTCCACAGTCTGATCGGAGTATTGGTTTTCTGGCAGAGCTTTTAAGCATGCCCTGTGCTGCTCTCATCAATATCCAGAATTATTTCTATTGTAGAAGAAGTTCCACTGATGATGTTCAGAATCATAGAATCCCAGAATGGTTTGGGTTGGGAGAGACCTTGGAGAGCATCTCACCCAAATGCCTTCCACTACCCCAGGTTGCTCCAACCTGGCCTTGAACACTCCCAGGGATGGGGCATGCCCCAGCTTTTAACCCATGTGTGAGACACACCTGTAGAAAACAGGTGACCAATTCTGTTCCACCAGGCTCAGAATTCAATCTAACAAAAAAAAAAAAGAAAAAATCCCCTTTCCAACCCCCAGCCCACGAGAGGAACCCAGAGGCATTCCAGAGGCATTCCAGAGGCATTCCAGAGGCATTCCAGAGGCATTCCTTCACCTGCTGTGACTGGTCCATCAAGTGCACGGCACCTGCGGGGTCCCACACGGATCCTCCATCCCTTCTGTTCCTGACACAGCCACACCATTCCCTGTGTCCTGCAGCAAATCCCACCTTCTTCCCAGTGCCTTTCAGAAGAGCCTCCCCACGCTCACGGCCCTGCAGCTGCCTCCCTGCTCCTGGGGCTGCTCCTCAGGGCACACTCACAGGTCGGGAATCCACTGAAACACGAAGGACGAGTAAAGCAGCAGAAATCTGGGACAGCAGGCAGGGTGGCCCCAGTTCATGAGGAACTCTTGATGACATTCTTTGCTTTCAGATGCTGAGCAGCTCCTTCAACACTCTGAGGAGCACCAGCACGCTCAAAATCCACAGTGCTCTGCTGAGTCAGGACCTGTCTGGTAAATAAGGTGCTAACTTTCCTCCTGACCAGGGAAACAACCCATCACTTCCCCCTGGAAGCACCAAGGCCTTTTGTATCTGATGCTACCCTTCCAAACACTGGGTTTGTTAACATTTTGGGGACCCAGCAGGACCCATCTTCTCACATTTCCTGCTCTAGGTGGGCTTCTCTGTGGGCATTTTTCCTCCTGCACTTCCCTTTCCCCCAAACAAAACCAGGAGCTGAGGGTTTTTTAATACCTCACACCACATGGCCATCACAAGGGACACCTGGAAAGGACTCACCTGGAGGACTCACAAGTCAGTCAAAGTGCACAGCAAGGCAAAAGAATAAACCCTAAAAGCTAAATATTCCACGTGAGCAGAGTATGGGCCAGACCTGATCCCAGGGGATGCTGGCCAAGGGAATCAGTTGTGCTGTGCCAAGGTGCAGTGTCCCAAACATTCTGCTCGTGGGACTGTTCTGCTACACCTTTAGAGAGCCAGGAGCTTTATCTACCTGATACAGGAAACACTGGAAATGCTGGCAGATATATCACACTGAGAAGAGGGAAGGAAGAGAGGCTTGTTTTGTGTTGACAGCACATTTGTCTTTCGGAGGTTGCTTGGTTTAAATCCGTTAATCCGTAAAGTCTCCCAGACAGCAAATTGCTGTCACATCTTTGCAAGTTTTTTCCTTCCTCTTTCCCTCATTTTTGCCCTCCTGGTAGCAACAAATTCCTCCCTGCAGGGCTGAGCATCTGCCCAGGCAGTGCATGAAGTACCACTGGTGAATTATCTTCGTGGACACAACCTGTTCACTCCTAAGCTTGCACTCCTAGGTTTAATACACTGTATTTACCTCTCATTTCTCAGAGAAAATAAGGAGAATTCCTCCTATAAAAATCCTTCAGTGAGACTGTTCACCAGACACCTCAAATCTCAGCAAAGCTGCTCTCCATCTGACAGAAAAGAGCCCATTTTGTCTCTTTTGTGTCTGAAGTCGAAGTCACCCACACAGCTCGAAGCTGTCTGGAGAGGCTCGTGAGTTTGCTGACAGCAGTTTCTCTGCCTGAAACCCTTCAGAAAAATGAGGCTTTGCAGCAGTGACTGAATTACACAGCACTTCTTATTTAGTCCTGGAAATAACTTCTGTCGCTGCAAACAACATGGTTATTTCTCAAAAAGAGAATGGGGGAAAAAGGTGTTTATAAGGAACAAAGAGCTGCTAATTTTAAAAGTTTTGGGTTTGTTTGTTTTTTAATTATGTCTTATGGGAAAAAGGAGGAGTCCTGCAAGGAGCAGGAACACAGAATGCAAATGACCCACCCTTCCCAGCCACATACATTTAAGGAAAATACTGTAACTAGTGATCAAAATTCCAGATAAAGGAGAACTTAACATGTTGTTTGTATGATTTTCTATAGGTTTGTGTCTTCATTTCTCACATTAAAGTGAAGACTTCCAGTATTTTTAACACAGATGTCCCCCCAGAACCTGTGGCCCTACAAGGCAGGTAAGAACAAGGGAATGTTCAAAAAGGACCTGCTGAAACCACCTGGAAATTGTAAAGCCCTGCAGTATCCTGTGACAACATGGACAGACTTTGGAGACCTCTCAGGATGTTTTTAGAGGAAAATCCTGCTAAATATAGAAATATAGGGCAAAGCAAAAGCCAGACTGCCTGTTTTACCCTACCCACGATGAATGGCTGGCACAGAGTCAGGTCTGACTTCTGCTGTTCCCACAGCACAAAGAGAAGCCCTGAGATTTCAGGTTCCAAGGGAAAGCAGAGCCAGCACCATCCCTGAGTGTGGTCCAACAGCTTTTTAATGCTGGCAGTGTCTGAAACACAGGCCCTAAAACCCCACAGGCCCAAAGGCTGAATCTGGCATGTTAAAGGAGTGAGGATTTCCACACCAAGGGCGCAGTTTGGGAGAGCCCTTTGGAGAGAGGCTGATTCAGTGCACTGACTTCACCCCCCAATCACCAGTGGCCCCTGACCAGAGCATCTGTAGCAAAAGGAATATCCCAATTTTTCCAATTCTCTGTGAAGCTGTTTTCCCAGGGGAGTAGGATTTCCTGGGGAATCAGAGAAGGAAGCACTCCAGGACAAGAAAGGAAGATGACTCTTGGCACAGGACACCCAATGCTGAATTACTTCAAATGCCAGAGAGATATTTGCTTTTTTTTTAATGAGCAGAAGTAGCCTCTGACTCATTTAACAATGCAGGTTGGAGAGGGGGTGGAAAAGGGCTGTTTCAACAAAAAGCATTTTTTTAACCTCTGGAAAAACCCCATGAATGAAGAATTTCAGAGGTTACTTTCAGAGTTGCTACTAAACCTCTACATTCCCCAGCAAGATTAGCAAAAATTCATTTCTATAAAACAGCGACTTACAACATTTAATAATCAAGGGTTTTTTGTTTGCTTGCTTTTTACTTGTAGAGAAAACTACTGATGAAAGTCCACATAAAGTTGCTGGAAAGCCAACAAGGCACTGCAACACTTATTTTGAGATCCTGCTCACAAATTAGTCTGTTATTCAGGTTACACCATCCCAGGAAACCTTCTGGGGACTTTTACATGGCAATCACTGCTTTGGAAGCAAATCCATCCAAACAGTACTGGGGATACTGATACAAAACAGCAGCAAAAGATAAATGAAGAAAATAAATTATTACCTGAGTGAGTGGATCCTCGTATTCAGAGGAAAAAAAAAAGCTCATTACTGAGAAAATGAGAGAATTTAAGAGTATTACTGCAGGTGGCCAAATTAAATCCCAAAGCAGGAAGCCCAGACCAGCTGAAGTTGTATCAACACTTTCATTTCAGTTTTATACTAAACAAATCATCTCTCACTGTGGAATTGGGATTCAGTGGTTTTGTACTCATGCTGCCAAAAAAAAAAAAAAAAAGATATTTAATAAATGCAAACCCCTAATTACTTTTCAACCTCTATTTCTGCACTATCTTGGCAAACAAGGGAAAAGTTTTCTTCCCCTCAATCTTAAAAGACAAGCCAATATACAGCTCACTAAACTGCTCTTAAATTTACAATTTGATGTTAAAAGTCCTTGAGTTTCACGAGATCTTTGCAAAGCCTTTGCAAATTTCTCTGCAGTTCAAAGCTTGGTACATTCAGACACGATGAGTTGTTAAAAAAATATTATGGTTAAAAAAAATGCCCAACCACCCCCAACATATTCATCAAATTGTTGCTGAAGTCTTAGAGATAAACATTTGTTTGTACTACCAAAATAATTTTTAGAAACACTAAGAAATGGATACAATCTGGGCTGGCTGCATTCTACAAGAACAACTCTTAAAGAAGGTGATGAAATAATTTAGTCTCTGCTTCCCAAGCAGCTTTGGCATTACCAAAAAGCTCCAGAGAAGTATTTTTAAAATATCAAGATCGCTCCTTTGTATAAGGAGTTCTGTGCACATGGAGAGGCATCAGCAGCAGGAGTTCCAAGTGACAAATTAACCTTTGGAAAACACTTGAGGCATCCTGAGCTACAGATAAATAAAACAAATAAACTCTGTGGGTTTTTTGTTTCGTTTATTGAAATATGAGCAGCAGTATGCAAAAAATATCTTTAAAAACATAACATAGCAAAACCTAATCGTTTTAAAATTAACAAAATAAAAAGATGTTTAGAGTTAAATGGAAAAAAAAAACCAGAACAAAACAAAACAACAAACCTCATTGCTAGAACTGTGTTTCCTACAATGTAAACAAAAGCATAAAGGTTATGCTTGCAACGAACACAGAAGCAGGTTTATGGAGCAGCACAAAAAAGCAACATATTGTAAATCTGATGGTTTGGTCTATTGATTTTGAATTCAGAATGGGAAAAACATTCCTAAACAGAAACTTCACAACTACAGAAAAAAAAAAAGTTACTCACGTTTGCTGTTCGAAGCAAAACATTCAGAAAACGTTTTGGTTTTTGGTTTTTTGTTTGTTTGCTTTTCTAGAAACCATCATTAGCAATTTGAGCAAGTAAAACAATATCCTGAAAAAATAATCATTTCAGACTAGGGAGGAAGCCTGACACATTTGAATGTCCTCTAGAGTTATAGTGCAAGGGTCCAAGTTAATCTTACACCCAACAATCGACAACTTTCACATTTTAATACTGTGGGGGGAAAAAACACCGAATTGTAACAGCATTTTCATCGTTGTTTTGCCTGCTGGGCTGTTCTGGTAATCTGTCTCTCATCAGTCACACTGGAAAATGGTCTTTTGGTCCATGTCAGCCCTCCCAGCCCAGTGCAGTAAATGGGTGTCAGGCACAGGGCACTGATTGACTGCCAGCACTGAGGTGCCCAAGGAGCAACATCCAGGCTGTTATCCCAGGGACTGCAGAAGCCAGCCCAGCAAGGATTGGTGTCAGCCTGCTCCAGGCTCTGCTGGTGTTGCCAAAGCTGCCAGTCAACGCTGTGGTTGGTGCAAAGGAGACGCCCAAAAAGAAGAAAATACACTTAAAAAGCCAAATCAGTTTTTACTGAAGGGTAACAATCCAAGCTGGGCTACACTGGAAAGGCTCCTTCTTCCACTACCACTCTGCTGGCTGATTTAATTTCTCCATCTGGATAAAGAAGTGATTTATACACAGGATGCTGCACCAGGAGCAGCACTCCCTGCTCTCCCTGTACTTGACACATGATTAGGGTCAAAAAACTCTCCATCCAATCCATCTGTGTTCCGATATCTCATTTTGTATCAGCAGCACAGATGAACTAGAACTGGATTAGGAACATCATGAACCAGTAAAATTTGCTCACTAGAAAGCACCCAAAAAGCTCTGCTTAAAAGGAACAGAGAAGTAGAAGGCAAACAAATCTTCCTGGGTTTGCTCCTGCTCCTGCCCTGCCAGACCAGCAGTCACAAGGATATCCCAGCATTGCAGATATTACAGTTGCAGAACATGGACACAAGCAGGAAAAATGCCAGAGCATTTCAGCACTTAATGACAGCATCAGAAGTGGGTTAACTGGATATTATTGCAGAAATTATGGTTCAGTGCACGGGCAGCCAATCTAACCACGACAGCAGCACCAAGCACCAGCTCTGGCTCACAAACACCCACCTCAGCACCCATTCTTGAATCACTCAGTTGGCCACAGAGAAGCACACAAGTGAACAGAGATGAAGCCAGGTGAAAAACATCTTGGATAAAGTAAAATCTTGTACCTACAATTGCAACCTTTCCTTAATTCAACGTGCCATGGCGTTTATTACAAAAGCTAGTCAAGAAAAATAATATTCTGTAGTGTCAAATATACATATTCAGCTACTTGACAAAAGTCAGGCCCCGAGGAGAAGACAATAGAAGCTGGATCCTGTGGCCAACTGACTTGGCATCTTATTCAATCAAAAGAACTGTCTGTGGGTTGCAGCTCCAAAGAATGAAAGAGAAGACCCCAAAGGTAAACAGCAATTAATGTTCCTCCCCTTCTCCTGAAGATGCACTTGTTGGTTTTTAAACACACTTGAGAAACTGTTTAAAAAAACCCCAAAACACTAAAAAAAAAAAAAAAACAACTCCCCAAACACCAAGTAATACAGAAATTCCTGTACAAGAGAACATTAGGGTTCTGCAGAAGTGTTACAGTTTATTCTTTTAAGGCATTTCATGAGAAACATTTTAAGGACACGTAAACAATTCGAATCCTTGAAGATCACTTGTTACGCAGGTACCATACGAAGCATGATTTGTCATTCAACAGAAGACACAAGAACTTGTGTAAGCAATCAATGTCTCAGGGTTGCAGCAATTAACTGCAACACATCTTCCAATAATTATTTGCATATTAGAGTTTTCAGCCTCTCCTCCCAACACTGAACCCTTTGCTGAAGAGGTATCCAGGAAAGAGAAAAAAGGAAGGCGAGAAGTTAAAAAATACAAGAGGTTTTTTCTGCATGCAAAGAGATTTTGTATATAATTCACTTTTAATTCTCTTAAGAGTATTTCTTTCAGCCTCCTTTTTTATTATAAAAAGGGGGGAAATATGCACAAGTTATTTAACTGATTTCCTTTAGTGTTTAGCACAGTGTTTAAATTCTCCACCAAAGCGCACTGGTGCAAACTTCCTGAAGTTCACCAAGGTCTTACACCTGGGTCAGGGCAATCCCAGACACACCTACAGGTTGGGTGGAGAAGGGATTTGGAGTAGCCCTGGGAGAAGGACTTGGGGGTGGTGATGGTTGCTGATAAAGTCCCCATGGGGCAGCAGTGAGTGTTCACAGCCCAGAACCCAACGGGCTCCTGGATCGTGGGCCAAGGCAGGGGATTCTCCCCCTCTGCTCCGCCCTTGTGACAGCCCACCTGGAGCACTGGCAACAGTTCTGGTGTCCCCAGCTTGAGGACATGGAACTGCTGGAGCAAGTGCAGAGGAGGCCACAGTGTTGATGAGGGGCCTGGAGCACCTCCCAGTGTCTGAAGGGGCCTCCAGGGAACCGGAGAGGGACTCGCTGTCAGGAACTGCAGTGCCAGGACAGGGAGTTATGGGCACAAACTGTCAGGAAGGAATTTTTCCTGTGAGGGTGGTGAGGCACTGGCACAGGTTGCCCAGGGAGGCTGTGGCTGCCCCAACCCCTGCAGTGTTCAAAGCCAGGTTGGGTAAGGCCTTGAGCGACCTGTTCTAGAGGGAGGTGTCCCTGGGGTTGGCACTGGATGATCCTGGAGGCCCATTCCAACCCCTCAGCATTCTGTGATTCCTTACACGTGAGGAATTTCATCACCATATTAATGCAATCCTTCAGTCCCACAAAGCTGCCACCTACAGTGACAAGTCTTCTGACTGAAGCCCTGCCATGAGGGCCAGGAGTGAGACCACCCTTTCAATGCAGGCTACAAAGGAGGGATTCCTTTTGGTCATGACCAACAGGTCTGTATTAAATCACCTGGAAGTAAAAGCTTCTGCATTCAGTAACTCATTTGCTAAGCCACTCACAGTCTTCAAAGAGACTCAACCTCATCCTGAAAGTGAATTAAATACAGTGTAATCACTAATACTGTGTAATGTCTACTGAGAGATTAAAAAGGTCTACACAGATCAATTCCAGACAGGTAAAATAAACAGCTAGAACACCAAAAAGAAAACAAAAAAACTTATTCCTTCCAAAAAGTAGTAAGCACTGCCATTTACAAATAGTAGTGTTTATGTTAAAAAAGAGAAGGGTACCTAAAAAGAGATAGCCTTGGCAACCAAATCCAAACTGCATGAGTGTAAATCAAAGCAAAACAAGAATTACTACTCCAGAAATGTGCAAGATGTTTACCTTGTATCAATTACTATTTTAAATGGTGGTTAAGAGAGATATTACAAAACCAAAGGTGGGAAAAGGCTAAGAACTGCTATTCTGCATTAATATACAGTGTGTTTATGACAGCATTTTCCAATAGAAAATACAAGTGTTTTTACACCACTCCGATATTTGTAAAAAGTATATTCATGTGTACACTTAAAAAAATCACATTGTTCAATCTGAGGCAAATTAGCCATAATAAAGTCTAATTTTGCTTACGACAGATGTCAACCTTAAGATGTTTAAAACACTATGCTAAAAATACAGCCTGCAAGCTGGAGCTGCACAATGTTCAAACAGTTTCATAAACATTAAAAAAAAAATCCCAAACTATGATATGTATTTATTCTCTGAAGTCAGTCTTCATAATTCTTTGTCCCTACAGGACAAAAAGGTTTTCCAGTTAAGACATATGTCTGTTTAAGTTCTAGGGGAAGGAGGGGAAAAGTGTTCTGAATTTCTCAATAGACTATTTTTTCCCTTAGAGTTCAACTGTCACTTAAGCATCACAAGAAAAATTTGAAATGTAAAACTGATTAGCTATACACAATGGAATTGGTCACAGAGGGATTTAAAAAAAAAAACCAAAACAATTAAACCATAAGATCCATTCTCCATATAGCTCACAGTATCCACTGGAAGTCGCTCTAGAATTAGAATAAGTTCGCTAAAAATAAGGCTGGAGATAGAATGTCAGCACTATGAGACAGATGAGATGGGATTAAGGGGAGAGCCCATTTGTGTAAGTACTTTATCCAGCCACTGGAGGGGCCCGTGAAGGTGAATTTCTATCCAGCACGGGGTGCTCGTGACGTCCTGTCGGTGGTACTCGGCTCCCCAGCCCTGCAAGGGGGAACACAAGGTTAAAACAACACTAACAAGAAGCAGAGAATCATGATCTAAGATACTTATCTGAAGGTAATTCACAATCTAGGAACACTTCTTATCTAAAGGAAGAAAGCTGAGGCTGGGGAGGAGCAGGAGGGAAGGTCTCCAGGGAGCCTGAACCGAGCAGACCTGCAGTGACCACAGGAGCTCTCTGCTCACTCCAGGAGGGCTCCTGCCATGGCCACATCTCTCTTCTGCCTCCACCTCCTGCTCCCTCATCCTCCACACTCTCAAACTGGGCAGTGTCTATCATCATTGACAAAATCAACATGAAGGTTTGGACAAGGTACAGTAAAACCCCTGGACTCCACACTAAATCTGAGATGGACAGTCTCTTTACTCAACAATGCTGAGGAAACCCCTGTGAGACAACAGCACAGCTTGACTTCATAAACTCAAATCAAGCCTTTTCTCCATAATCATTTTTTAAAATAATATTAATCAATTGGAAGGAGTTGAATATTTTCTGCAATCAATTCTATTCCTTTCTACTCACTGTCTTTTAACAGACTTGTTATTCACTTTGTTCCTTCAAATTTCAAGCATGAGCTCAAATCTTCTTTAATAAAATTACAGCAACCACAATGATTAAATCCCTGTCCTGGATACTAAAGTAATTAAATACACAGCCAACATTCAATACAGCAATCTGTGCTTTTCCTTTCTTGCACTGATTTCCCTCTCCCCAAATTAAGCATTTGCAATGTACTGATCATTGAAAAGACCCATATCATGTCAGATAAATATATATATTATAAATATATATATAAATATATATATATATAAAAATACCCAAACCCACAATAAACTTCAAATGCCCTCAAAATAACTTACCTTTACAAAACTCATTCGAATGGTGCACATTTTGGTGAGCTCATATACTGCTTCAAATCCATGGTTGACAGACTGGGCTAAAAGCTGAGCAAACTCCTGATTGTTAAATATTTTCAGACTGCATCCACTGGGAATCTTGCACACAGTTGTTGGATGAAAGCCATGGTGGTAGTTGCAGTTCCTGCTCTGTACAAATATGCTGCTGTCACTCAAACACTCAGCATAGACTTCTCCACCAACATAGTAGAGGTGAACTCCTTGAAAACAACGATAAAAACGTTGCAAATGAGTTTGCTGCCTCTGATTTTGAGGTGGTTGTAGCAAATAAATCCTTTTTGCTCTTTGCTCACACTATAATATACTTTCTCATTTCAGAATACAGTAAGCTCGTGATACACCAGCCACTAGATGTCCTTCTCTGACCAGTTACAGATTAGAATGAAAAAGCTGCTGCCACATTTCTTTCAACTGTTATTTCAAGCTATTTTTCTACAGAATTTATGTGCCTCTTAAAACTCCAGTTTTGTACAACTGGTAGCTTCTGCCTATGGCAATTACAGCAGAAATGAGTGTGTCCTGGGAGAAGGGTCAGACATGAATGAGAAAGTACATCCATGCTCTGATTTTCACAGCTTTTTATCAGGCCAAAGGAGAGGCAAGTCCAATTAGTTGCTCAACTTAATTACCATCAGGCTTTACAGACCTTAAAAATCAACAAAGCCTGGATTCAGCTATGCCCATTAATGTTTCCTTTCATGTTTTGAAGCCTATACAACACTATTACTGACTAAAAATCAGTATAGAAAAGCTGCTGATCCTTTCAGGGTCCAAACACTGATTCTTGCCTTCCTTTTCCCCCCCACGACTGCTGGGTGGGATAGAGTTCTCTTTCAAACAAAAGCCATAAATAAGTAGTATTTTATCCCCAAGCAGTCTTAACTGTTGTCAGAACAACTACCACAAAGCAAAGTTTAAGTTCCATAATTTCTGTTAGAGATGTAGACATTTTAAAGCTCATTACAACGTGCTGATGGATCCTGGTTACACTCCTGACCTTGGGAAGATGCACAGGATTTCTCTGCCAATACCACTGAAAGGGGTGAGCCCAAACAAAACCTGACAAACCACCCACACCCCAGGAATCAGCTGTTCTCCTTTATAACAGGGTTTTATTTACACATTTTCTTGGATAACTGCATTGCAGAGCCCAGTTTCCAACACATATCGACAGAACTCGTGGTCTCCAAATTATCTGCAAAATTCTGCCATATTTATAGAAGTTTCTAATTTAAAAAGCCTGTTAAGGGACAGGATGAATTTTCATCAAGCAGAACTCAAGACCAACTTTACCAAATGATCTCAGGAGGTAAAGAGGCCTCTAAATACGTGCAATAGAAACAGGGTTCTCTCCTCAGGACTGACTTGACTTGATCACAAAAGAGAAGATATTCAGAAAAGCAGCACTGCAATTTAAGATAATCCAAGCACATTCCATCCCAGATGAAAACTGTGCATCTCTGTGTGCTATCAGCCAAACAGCACAGGAAAACTAGAAGATCTTGCAAAACCTGCTGTCTCCAGGAATCCCTCCCACACACAAACACACCCCATGGATTCACTCAGACAAATGAGCCCTTGCAGTTTTGCATTAGCACTTCAAAGTCCTGCTGCCAACTCACCAAGATATTTGAACACAGACAGCAGGTAATACCTTGCAACAACAAAATAAAACGATCTTTGATATACTGCACGGTGGGATGAAGAATTTGTTTTAAGAAGGAGACAGAATGTAGACTATCAGGAGTCCTGCAACGTGTCTTGGTGCTGAAACACAACAGCTCTACGTACAGATTGTCACAGGGGTTTGTTTGTTAGGGCAAAGGATAATCCTGTTTGGTAAGGAAGGGGTAAAACTAAGTCTTTTAAATCAGTGCCAAAGAAAAATGTCTGCAATTCCTGACTAATTAGAATTAAACCATGCCTAAAGAAGCTGCCTTCTGATTCTGCAGAGGCAGATAACGTATCAGATCTCAGATTCCCTCTGGAACTCTCATCTGAGAGCAATCCCTGCTGCAGTGCAGGGAGGGTGCAACAAACCCAAGGCCTGGGGTTCTTAAGCCGAGCTTTACCTTTCCCGATGTGCCGCCGAGTGTTCTCGATGGTCGAGTTGCGGTTCACGTTGGAGAGCAGACCTAAGCAGAACCTGTTTTTGTTGTTGGAGGGATCTGTAAACCCATCTACCAAGACACTCGTGGAAGATGCATGAAAGGCCTCCCCAACACGATTATTTAACTCATAATACACGATGGAACACCAGTGTTTGGGTTCTTCGTAGGCAACGGGCTGGACATCTGAAAAACAGCCAACAGAAAGAAGGGTTTACCTCCCAAAACACCACCAGACAAGTGAGAGCTCAGCTGACACTTAGGATGGGCAAGGAGTATCCTGATTAACAGCTTCATGATTTTTATCTTCATGCATTTTAGCTAGTCTGCTGATTTTATAATTATTTCCCTATTTTAAGCCTGATAATAAATAACACCCCCTACACACATACAAAAGCACTGTGACAGCAGGTGAAACATGATTCTCCTCCCACTTTTAAAAAATCTGCTATAATGGGTATTCTGGGACTCAAATTTTCAGAGTCTTTGTTGATATACAATTCCAGCAACAGTCAAAGGTAGCAGAAAACAAATGAAAGAATTCAACTTGTTGAAAGCCCCACTGTTGCACCTGAGGCTTTGAAAACAAGAGATGAAAATAAGCCAGGCAAGTTTTATCTCTCAGTTTTCTCTGCTACAGCCCCACTTTGCCTTGGAGGACCTACCAGCAAGATTTACTGGCCCATTTGAAGTTAGTCATTCAGTTTGGTGCCAAAGTATGCAATTTTACACCAGGCCCCACAACTTACCTCTGGTAGATATATTTGGCATGATTTGAGGGATCATTGTATTGCTTGTGTCCATAGACTGGGAATTATCCTGCCCCATTTGATCATCAGGGGGCATATAGGCAGGAGGTGGAGTATCAGCTACAGAGGTGAAAAAAATAAGAATAAACCTCAACAATTTAGAATATTTGTTCATTCTACTGTTGTAAAAATACAAAAAAAACCTCTCTTGAACAAGAGATGTTAAAAAATTTGGACCTATTTTCAAAGTGCCCTGAAAACAGCCAGCCAAGAGATACCCCCTGACTGCAACACTCTTTTGGGGGAACTGAGCAACCAGAAAGAACTTTTGGAAAATAAAATCATTAAACTGATTAACTTCTTAGCTTTATAAACCACACCAACAGCCAGACAATCAGTAAGACTTCTTTCCTTTGCCCCTATCAATTGTTTTTCCTTTTTCTCACCCAAATCAGTTGAAGTGAATTAATTTAGTCCAATCTGTTCCTAACAAAGATTTGCTACTTTTTTCCAGTTAAACACCACTGTATTCAGAGAAAGACATCAAGAAACCTCTTGCTCTGCCTCTTACATCTGCCTTCACTTCATTGCTAGATATTCTTGTAAAGTATGTATCAGTTGTTCTATACTGAAGCTGTGCAAAATAACTCACCACTGTTGTATCCATGACAAAAAACATTTGGAAAAATAAAACTACAATAATTAACTCTGACCAGTGGCAAAACTGGAAAGAAACTCCCCCGAAATGCAAATGGAAAAAGCAATTTCTTGCAAGTATCACAAATTCTGAGGTAATAAGTCACAAGAGCATGTGATATTTCAATTATATTTATTAAACTGACAGGCTGGACTTACCTGGGAGCTGAAAGGGACTGGATGGTCCCGAGCTGGCTGGGGAGCTGGGGTAAGTGCTGCTGGCTGGGGAAGGGGGGTAGGGGCTGTTTGGGGAGATGGAGAATGGAGTGTTGTTGGGCTGCTGGAAGGAGTCAGGGAACGTGGCGTTGTGGGGCATGTGGGGCTCGTTGTGGCTGAGGTTCCTGAACTGAACGAGGAGGCTGTGCTGGGGGTTGAATTCACTGTGGCGAGGCACTAACACTGGAGGTAGAACTGGAACAAACACAGAGAAAAACCAGGTAAATTCAGAGGAAAAAATGAGCTAAAAGGAGATACAAATAATGTGCTGTTCTGCTCACCATGATAATTCAACACTAGTGGGGTGGGAAGAGGGGCAGGGGGTTAATCTGACATGCCTTTACCCTGTCCTCCCTCCTTGATGTTTTACATTATGCTTCATGAAAGACTCAAACTTTACTCTTGCAAAAATCACAAAAACACACATCTATCTCATGCAAGTGGAAGATGACCTTTCTTTTCAAAAACAAGAAACCAACAAAACAAACCATGTGGCACCTACTGAGGTACTGATGCAGAAGTGCAAAACTCCCTGTCTCTGTGCATGAGCAAACCAGTGAAAACGGAAATACAGCCTTTATTACCCCAGTCAAACCACACAGTTACATATTGTCCCTTTCACTGAAGACAAGCAAAATCTATACTGCAACATAAAAGTATTGCTAAGCTGGAGTTTTAACTTTTAAACCCAGGGCTGCTGCAGTCTGGAATTCCAGTGCTGCAGTTTGAGCACTGCAGTTTGCAGTGGAGTTAAAACCACTCTGTGGAACAACAGAAGCAACTTTTCACTCTGCTGTCCACAGCAACATCCTTCACATCTCCCACTTGCAACCTCAACCCTCCTCCCCTTCTCCCATGGCAGAATTCCTGAACAGCAGGGCTTATTACCTGACACAAATTCGGTACAAACCTTGCTCTGATCACCACTCTTGGCTCTATTCATCTGTGCTCACTGGAATTCAAGTGGGGAACTCTACCATCCAAGAATTTTATTTCTTTTTTTTTTTATCTCCTCAAGTCATGTCACTCACTAATTAAATAGTAAAAGAACTCCACCAACCTCCCTGCAAGGACTGAGATTTTTAAACAAGTTCATCAAAGAAACTGAAGTCTTTTTATCACTGCTTTCTATTTTGCTAGAGATGAGGACTTTGCTACTAACTTTCAGGGTAGCAGGCTGAAGAGATCTAAGGGGAAAATGTGATTAATCACAAAGAATGGACAACACACCTCCCCAACACCACACAAGTAATGTACCCTTGAAACTTCCTTTCCCAAACTCCCTCATGCACCAGTTTTAATCAGTTCCACAGGACTGGAGGAGGGAGGGGACAGTAAGCTGTTAGAGAAGATTTTGTGCAGTTGTAAGTCAGTAATTTTCCAAATACCTGGGCTCTCCACCCTCTTGTAGTGGTATGGATTGATGCAGACTTCCTTCTGTTTAGATCCAAAAGGAAACTCACAAATATCCAAGGGCTTCAGCTCGTGGTGGCTCTGGAGGTCGGGCCAGCGCCAGACGCGGCAGTAAATGACGTGGGGAAGGCCCTTCCTGTGGGACACCTGGAGCCGCCCGTCCAGGGAGCGCGGGATGGTCACGCACTTGCTGGGCTGGCCTGGGCTGCTCAGGGCTTTCTCCAGCTCTTCCATAGCACCCTTTTTCTTTTTCAGCTTTTTAACCAAAGCATCAACGGCTTTTTCTGCCCATTTTTCCTCTTCATCTCCTTGTTTCCAGCCCAACAGACGCTTTACAGCTGGGCTAGTAAAGGAGAACAAACTGGCCATTGACGTCATTGGACACAAAGTCTTCAAAAGGTTTGGTGGGGTTTGTCTGTTGGGATTTTCTTTGTTTTTCCCAAATAATTGTCAGGGTATACCCAAGGCAGTTATTGCCACTGCTGAGCTGTGTTATTTCTTGGAGGCTGCCAAATGAGCATAGAGATGTCAGCGATGAAGTCCTCACATCAAAAATGGGGATCAATTCCTCCAATTTAGTTCTGTTGAAAAGGTAAGTTAACAAGGAATTAGAAAACAAGTAAAATAAAAAGGTAGATAGTAAAAGACTCTCTGTTTCAACACTGAACCTGGTTTTGTTTCAAAGCAAAAACCCAGAAGTACTAGGACCTCACCCCCAAAAAAGATCAGAGTCTCCAATTCTTACATTAATGATTAGTGGGAAAAGGGACCAACAAGGGTGAGAGGGACAGCACAGTTCATATTAATGTTCCTTAAATCCATGACTTTCCTTTAGAAGGCAGGCTGGAGGAATATGCTGTAAAACCATCAGTCCATCCCTGCCATGCTGCCTCACTAAAGGACTAAACTTGCTATGCAGGAGCAGGGAAGAGGGAGGGTGGAACCAGCAGTTCCAAGGCCAGCAGTGCATTCTCAAATGGACCTTTATTTCCCAAAAGGAGAAAATCCTACAGCACCTGCTTTTTCCTGCTTTAACCCTAATTAGTAACCTCATGTTTTTGAAGAGTATTAAAAAAATTAGGAAGAAGCTGTAGATAGAGAATAAACCAAACACAAGTAAAAGAAAAACCCAATAAAAAGCTCCAACCAACCCACTCAGAAAGGTGGTCAACCCTTTTTTTTTTTTTTAGTTGGAGCTATTTTTATGCTGCACTTCCTTATATCTTTTAAGAAGAATATTTGAAGGGCTGGATATTTTTAGCCTTTGGCAAAAGAAAAAAAAAATGTTTTCTTTTCCCCAGAAAAAGAGGGGGGGAGGGTGGGGAAAGGCATGACAGAGTAAGGACTAGAAATGTGACCTTTACTACAAACTCTCGGAAAGGAGAGGAGCAGAAGAGCCCAGTGCAGCTCATGAATGGTGTTTTACCACTCCCCAGCTCCAGAGCAAATCCTCCCCCCACCAATTTACCGATGACAAGAGGAAATGATGTGCTGTGGCAACGAACTGATAAGAACTTGTAAAATCCCTGGTGAATACTAAATAAGCAAGCACAGACAATGAGCAGCTGGCAAAAAGCAAGAGCAGGGCTAAGAGAAAGGATGTCAATAACAAAAGATGCTTCCTCTCCTGCTACAGAGACTGCCAAACAACATTGTCTCTCAGCTTTTGATAAACCACGGGGAATGAGAGCACCTACCACGGCCCCAGACACCAAATGTGCACAGGAGACACAAAGGTGGTGGTGGTGGTGGTGGGAAGCAGGATTGAAGCACCTCTGTGCTGGTTCTCTTAGGCTGCCACCTTTAATCAAGAAGATCTTTCTTCCTCCCATCTTTGATTCACTAAAAGTCATCTGATAAGGCTTTCCCGAGTGTCTGGGCACATTTACAAGCTCACTCAGACACCTGCACAGATACTTGTATATAACAGAAACACAGACTAAGCAGCATTAAACAAAAATACAGCAAACATCCCTAGGCAAGGCATTTATGCACCACAGGTTTGTTTTTTCTGGGAATTAGAAGGTGAGGACAAGAGGGAACAAACCCAAGGACACTTGGTGTCTCTTGACAGGAAAAAAAATCCATTTATTTCACACAGTAGCTTAATCCCATTGGTACCTCTTTGATTATTCAGCTTTGTTTCAGTAGTACGGAGAAAAAGTGGGAAAACCAAAACAAACAGAACAACTGTTTGAAGAGCTTTCTTCCTAAGCTGTCATACAAACACAAACTGAAAAAAAAAAAAAAAATAGGAGAACAAAAGTCTCCCACTGCTTCAGTAAGTCCCTAAAAGGTATTGAAAAAAGAAAAAAACCTCATCAATTATGTATCACCTTATTTCTTCAGAAATACAGACATGTCTGCACTTTAATTCAGTTCCCCAGAACTATTACACAGAAGAACCTTTGCACCCTTCAAAGCAACAGGAAATACATAAAGAGAGAGAAACTTGGCCAAGCACTCAGACTAAATTTGTTCTTTTACTGAGGATAAAAGTTTACTGTTCTAAAAAGTAAAAGCTGTTTATAGCTGCAACCCACTTTCAAGCCTTGTACCTTCAGTATCTCAAGATAACAGCAATTGCTCACAGCCCTAAAAAAGGAAATGAACCCACCTGAAGTCTCCCAGCAGAAAGAAGACAATTCAGAAGTTCTATTTTTGTTTCTCAGCTATGCTTTCAAAGAACCTAAAGCATCATCAAGGCAGAAGATGCACTAGAAATTCCTATAGTTAAGCTGAGCTCAAAGGAGATTTCAAGGAACTCCTCTTGGTGCTGCCACCCAGATCTATCCCATTACATCGATATCAAGCAATCAAGTTTCCAGACCTACAAGTCTTATGTTCTATGATCATGTATAATTGGATATTTTATTTTGTAGTATTCTGAACACGGTGCATCAACTTGGAAAGCAATTTTAGTGGCTGCATCTAATTTCAACATCATTTACCCACAAGTATGCTCGTGGAATAAACAACTAACTCAAAGCGAAGGAAGTTGGAACAGTTCTACCAAAATGATGTTTTGCAGTAACTAGTATTTGTAGGGCAAGTGTCAAGGGAATTTTGATAAATGACTCTGTCCTGTAAACTATGATTTTACAAATAATCTGCTTGGAGTCAGTAACATAATTAACTCTAAAAGCTTTACATTTGTTTGAGGGGCTATCAAGAAAAGCACAAAGTGTTCCAGAAGCATCATAACAGATTCGATCAAAACTGCTTCAACTTCTTCAAAAAAGAAGTTTCTACACACATCCTTGTGCTGTAAGCACTGAAGAACCAGACTGCTGAAGTTAAAATATTATAACATTTACTGTAACTCAATTCTGCCCCTCCAGGAGCTTTCAAGACTTCTACTGAACAGTATTTTTACCTGGTCATGAAAAGCAAGGGCAAAAAAGAAACCCTTGCAAGGAAATGCTTTGAGAAGTGCAAATGACACTGAATTGATCTCATTGCACACCTTTCAGAAGTTCATTTTGGAAGGCAAAAATCCTGAAGCTTCACAGCTCTTGCTTTTTCTTAAGAAAACAAGGTAGAATTAAAAAGCTCCATGAATCATGAGCTATTTAAGGCCACAAAGCAGCAGGTTCAGGTATTTATACAGGAGCCTAACATTTTGATGTAGAAACTGCAATTCATGTAGGGTTTTTAAATTTCTGAATGAGAGGCACAAACCACATTTAGAACATTTGCTTGTGTTTGCTGTAATTTCAACATCTCATCTTCCCAAGGTTTCTAAGCAATCCTGCCATCTGCCAGGAACAGCCTCCCCAGAATATCTATATTTACAATCAATTTCTTCTGAGGCTTTAAAAGCCTCTGTTATGAGCTGTGATTGCAGCACAACAGTGCATCACTGTAAGGCCTGAGTACAGAAACAAACGCTTTAAAGAGTCACATTTTCATTCAGTGTTGCACAAATTGCTCCTATTGCTGCACCTCTACACACAGCTGGGAACAACTTTCACGGGGGAAAAAAGCTTTCTTAAGTTTCCTTAAGAAGCAGAGGGCCCATTATGCATTAACTTCTTTTATTAAATAAGTTTTCAGCTGAGCTACGGGAGAACATCAACTGAAAAACATGCTATTAGTTTAAAAAAAAAATAGTCACAAACACTCTTTAAAGAGGGAGTGTAATGAATTGCAGGGAGTAGCATGAGGGGGCTTTTAACGGGCAAGTATAAAGGGAAGTAATCACTGTATCAAAATGAGACTTTGGGGCATGCATTATTTATACATTGAAAGGTCTTGTTAACGACTACAGCAAGTGGAAGGAAACCAGTTGTGTGAACAGGGCCATTGTTTGAACCCCTTCGTAATACCCCAGCCAGCCAGATATAAACAGTTGGCCAAAGCAGAGCTTACAAAGTTGCATTTGATTTGTGAAGACAGGACAAGTATAGCACCTCTCACCTGCCATCACAAATGCTAAGTAACTCCACTACCTTTTGGTGGTTCCTGTGAAATTTTCTCAGTTTATTCCATTAAATTGTCAAGTTTAGTAAATTCATTTGGTTCTGTGTGAAGGAATCTTCTTTTGGCTAAAAGAGCAAGAGTCACTGTGAATAAACAATGTAACATTAAATACAGGGTAACTATTTTAACGAGAGGCACTTCTTGTGTAACATGTTCTGCCCTTGACTCCAAACTGATTTCCCACCTGCAAAATCTTAAGTTTGAAGTACCACTTACCAAGCAAGCCATCATGCCAAACAGCCTGGCAGTGAACAATGCTCCCACAGTTTATCCACCAGGATAAACCAGATGACAACAGCATGGTCCTCACCCCTTCCCACTGCCAGGACTGAGCTGGTGCTGCACAACTACAAGCTCTGTTCTTTTCCTGCTTAATTGACTTGTTTGCAAATTCAGGAAGCCTCCTGTAGCATCATACCCAACTGAAGGGAGGAACTTCACTGCTGCTGATTAGAAGCTGCTTTGAGACTCAATGTCATACTATAAACAAAGCACCACTCATAAGCAGCGACACAACTGGGAGTTCATTAGAGCTGCTGCAGATCTGCAGCTAAAGCTGTTCTGCACTCAGCTCTTGTGCTTAACTTTATTGCCCCATCAAGCTGCAAAATGCTCAAGCATTTTGACTCCACACACATCTTAACATACTACATATTCATCCAGAGAGCTCAGAAACTCAACTGTTGTGTATTACAGCATATTATGCTCTATACACTTATCGATACTTTCACCTGGTTTTATTAAAAATCCTTCTTTCCTTATAGATTTCCTGACAGGAACTGTGCAGGATTGTGCTTGGGGTTTATTATCATTTTCTTACACTGCAGCCCAGCACACAGGCCCCTGCAATGAGCCTTTTCTTGAGAACAAATACAGAGGAAAAGTTAACTCCCCAGTTTCTCCAAACACATCAAGGACGAAATAAACCCTAAGATTACACCTTGGTTAAAGAACTTGGTTAAAAACTTGCAGGGCCTCCATGCCACAGCCAATCTATAGGAAAGATTTTTCTATAGTTGCAACATCTCAGCCATGAGGAATATCATCAATGATACAGTTTTTCTTTTTTTTCCCTCCTCCCTTTAAATAAAAGATGAAAGGAGATTTTATAAATTATGTCAAAAAGGAACTTGTGGTATTTTCATCAGAACTAGGCTTGCATATCTAAATGTACATTGAGTTGGTCAGGCTCTATGATGAGTGCTTTTATACCAGCACTAGATTTCTTTGCTTCAAACATGCCTTGTAAGGCAATATGGCCTAAGTAATAATACATGTAAACAAGAACAGAAAAGAGCTGTCTGGTATCTTCCAAACTTTTACTAACCATGACTGCCCTCCAAACAGGAAAATACACTGACAATTTCAGACAGGGCTTTCTCACACAATACTTTTCATTTCCACATCTGTCCACCATCTAACACATCTTAAAAAACAACAACAGAAAAAAACCCTGAAGCATTTAGCTCTGTCAGGCCAAGCAAAAGCAGCAAGAGATACAACATACGTGGAAGAAGTGGAAACAAAAGCCATATAGCTCAGATAGCAAAGTGAAAAAAATGGGAAAATTACAGTTTTCACAAACCCTAAAGTATACTAAAAAAATTAATATGCTGGACAAAGCCTCCCAAAATTTTAGATGTCCATGTGCAAGGCCTTCATTAAAGACTAAGATCCTACATATTACGACTTGGCAACAAAAAGCATAACCTGAAAGAAGGGACACTCTCATAAAGCTTTAAAAGAGGAAGAAAAATAAAGATGTATGTGTGTGTGTGTGTGTACAATCCCTCTCCAAGTGAATTGCAATAAGCCTGTGACAAGTTCACAAAAGCTCCAGGATTGGAGGGAACACTGACAATAGTAACTCAGCGAGGTTTTTTTCTCCCCCCTGTGCACAGAATGAATGAATGGTAAAGTATTCTAAATTTGTCAGTTTGTGACATGCACTGACCCAGAATTCAGAGACACTACTTCATAGCTGCTGTATCAGTAGCAGGGACTGTGACAAAGCTCCTCTGTCAGGGATGACAGTGCTGGCAGGCTCAGCCTTGGTGGTAGGTCAGTGGGGATACAGCCTTGGCAGGCACCGTCCTGGCCCTGCCAGCCCACGCTGCAGTGCCAGCCCAGCTTCCCTACGTGGTCACAGCAACAGGGCTAAAAAGGCTTCCAGAAAACTGTGCAGCAACTTGCACTGTGACTAAAGGCAACTGCAAAAGTCTTAAATTACTGCTCAGCTCGGTTTTAATGAGCTGTTTAGCGTTAGCCATGGGGATATCTGAAGTGCTCGCACGGGAACAAATCTTTTCGTTCTGGGCACGAGCTCCTTACCTGTTCATATCAAAAAATCATATAAAGATCTTTAAAGAAACACTAACAGACTAAAATTCATCTCAGCCAATCTATCAGAGATATCAGAAGAACTTGTGCTTTAATTGAAAAACCCAGAAAAACACAAAGAAAATGAAAAGCAAGGCCTTAACTGGCAGAAAAAGAAGATACAGGACAGCAGTATTTCTGCAGGTATGTCATTCAGCCAAGAGCAACAAAAGAGTTCTCAGCATTTTCTTACGACAACTTGAAAGAAAATATAAATGACTTTTTTCTGAAATTAAAAGTGCCTTCTGAAATAATAAAGACCGCAACATGATTTGCAAAGAACATTCACACAAACCCCCAAAGTCCCTTAATGGAGCATGAGCAGCCCATCTTGGGAGACAGAACTTCTTCCAGCTCAAACACTATTGGTGCAAGACTGAAAACCTGACTTCACAACAAGTAACCAAATAGCAGAGGGTGCACAGCTACAGTTCCTTCGAGTTCCATCAGAGGTTAAAACTCCAAACCTCCAAATAAAAACCCCACCCAGCACAGCTGTACACAGCAGCACGCCCTGCTGTTGGGAGCTTTTGTCATCCAGAGAAAGAAAAGCAGAGGAAGCCTCTCTTCCTCCTTTCCCATTTCTCAGCCCCATCACCACTGTCCATCTGGGCTTCCACTGGGAAAGTTCTCTTTAGGAAAAAAAAAAAAAAGACAAACATTCCTCCCTCAAAAGTATTTCCTCTGAAAGGAAAAGAAAGGTTTGACAAAGGCAAACCC